TGTAACACAATTTCCCTAAGCCTCAGTCTTAGCTCCAAAAATGCGACTAATACTACCTATCTCATGTGGTTGTTTTAAGGAGTAAATGAAATAACCTATAGAAATCTTTCAGCATAGAGTCTGGCATAGGGTAGGTGCTCAATATATTTTATTCATTTTCCTTCAAGCTATTTGAAATCCTTCTGGGAAGAAGGCAAGATTTAAATGATAAACAAGTAAACAGTTCTTTACTTCATCATAATTACAAAAAAATAGATGGCATAAGGAAAATCTTGATCTGTCTATCGTTATATCAAAGAAACCACGCTAAACCAAAAAAACAATCCTTGCTTTGGAGGCACTTTATGAAGTAGGATTAAATGAAAGTGTTGGAATACAGATGAGAAGGAACTTTAAACACACATTCTCCCACCGAAGACCATATCAGCAATGCTTCTAATTACCAATATATCAAAACCCTCTCCACTCCCTGTAACTGGCAGGAGACAATCTGAGGCAAACTCAGTGTACCAAGAAGACCTACGAAAACTTAACCTAGATGGCACAATGAATGAAAGGGAGTGAATTCCCTGGCTTTTGGCCTTCTAACACATGACCAGTATGCTTCAGACCATGTTTAAAACTGTTTTTGTAATATATTTTTGCCACCTAAGTTTTTTTTTTCCCCCTTCATAAAAGTGATATTTGAGTAGCGAGGGGAGAAATGGCTCAAAATTTGTTACAACAGGTTCCAAAGAAAGAGAATAAGGTATAGAGAAAGGGAAGACAGGAAGAAAGAAAAAGAGGTCAAGTATGTAGTAGGTGGTACAGGGAAGTCAGTGGACACTAAGACACAAGTATCTTCTGCCTGGAAATGCTGCAGATTTTGTGGTTAGCCTCAAGATATTAGGTGGGAATAAACATGTCATTGAGAGTAAATGTAAACACAAAAATGAAAAATAAAAATTGTACAATTCACTTTATTCTTAACTAAAATGTTTTTGATGGTTATATATGGCAGGCCTAGGAGGCAATGTTAGACAGCAGATAGCTGCCTTCAGGGGAGGGTGACCTGTGTTCTGTCCCCTGCTCTACGTTGTAAAGAGGTGTCATTTTGGACAAGTCACAACAGCTCATGTTGAATCTTGGTTTGATTCTTTATCTAAAGGTAGAAAACTGAACCAGCTTTTTGATGCTGATGAGGAGGAGTTTTGAGAGGAACAAGGATATACACTATCTCTGTTGAATATCTGGGCCATAATGTATCAGCCTAGGACACTGAGAGAGATTTATTCAAGAGTTGAAGAGAGCTAGGGGCCAAATAAAGATTTTTAAGTTTTGAGATAGGGTTTTCTTCTGTTGCTACGACTGGAGTGCAGTGGCAAGATCACAACTCACTGCAATCTCTGCCTCCCAGGTTCAGGCCATCCTCCCACCCCAGCCTCCTGAGTATCTGGGACTACAGCACATGCCGCCACACCCAGCTAATTTTTAAATTTTTTGTAGAGACAGGGTCTTGCCATGTTGTCCAGGCTAGTCTCAAATACCTGGGCTCAAGTGATCTGCCGGCTTTGGCCTCCCAAAGTGTTAGGATTACAGGTGTGAGCCACTGCACTCAGCCTCAAATACAGACTTTTAGGAGGTCAGATTTATACACCTGTCCATCATGGTCATGTTGGTTAACCTCCATCATGAAGCTAGGCTTTTTAACCTTCAGGAAAACTACCCCAAAGCAGTTACTGGCCTAAATAAAGCAGGTCACGCTATATGCCTCAGTTTAAAACAGAACATCACAAATTAACCTGAAGCAGGAAAAGGAGGGGACATCAAACCTGACACCAATCCTGATGAGAGCAAGTGCTCTCATTTGACAGACAGAGTTAAACTAGATGTATGCAATTCCTACAATGAACATGATCAATGCCAATCAGATAGTCAGAGTAACCGTCATTTAATTGGAAATAACATATACAAGAGAGCTGACCTGAGGTGTTGCTATAGATAATTCATAACGGCAGTAAATTCAAAAGTCATTTACTATGTTTTTAGCTTTGTCATTAACACACCCTGTGTGGATATCCCCTGTTCTACGTCTAGATGACTTCCTTCTGGCTTTCCTCAAGGCTCCTTTAACTTTGAGGAGACGATAAGGGATGGGATCCCTGCCTGTTGAACCAGAGGAAGCTGAGGAGCACCAGGTTTCCACTGAAGACTAAATCATGATCCAAAGAAGGAATCTCAGAAGCCATTCTTGCGTGAGCATGGCTTAATGTCTGTCTCCCACTGTGAGCCCTGGCTTTGAGAGCAAGGGTCTCCTTAGTCATTTTTATATTCCCAGCGCCTACCACTTTGTCAAGCCCTTGGTAGAAAAGGTGTTCAATAAATGCATGTTGAGTTTTATTACGCTTTCTATTTTTCCTCCCCCAACTTGTACATATTACAGAAGCACTGAAAATTCAGAAATCAGCAGGTGTCAGGGCTCCGGGGTAATAAACCATTCACAGGGATAGCTATAGGAATTTGGCATTAGCATTGATTCCAATCTCTTGGGGGTAATCAGGTGGCATAATCATGCCCTGCTTTACTGTGTAGCATAAGGTCAGTGGAGAAAAACATCAAGAAGGGAGGAGGACAAGGGATGGAGTCCAATACAGAAATATCTACTGAGCGTCAATTATGTGTCCCACACTATTCAAGGTACTGGGCAGAGAAAGATTAAAAAAAGCAGAAGCTCCGACCTTGAGGAACTTAACAGGTAGTTAAGAAATAGCAGGATTTTAGCAATACTAGGAATTCACAGCAACAGCCCAGAATCCCGATGTAATATATACGACCAAAATGTGAGGTCCCTATCAAGAGAATTAAGAAAATCAAGGGGAAGAACTCATCAATACTTCACCTCAAAGTTGGCATATAGCATTTGTTTAGGTACGGTTTCTTAATTTTGCGAACAAAATATTCAGACCTAAGTGATTATCCACAAAAGATCGGATTACTAGTTTCTAACACAGAAGTACTCACAGGTATTCTGAACCCCAACCTACTGCAATATGTATTACATTTGGCCAAAAGGTAGTTGTTCTCAAAGTGAAGAACCCAGATCTGCAGCATCAGTACCTGAGCCTTGTTGGAAGTGCAAATTCTCAAGCCCTAGCACAGACCTATTACCAGAAACTCTAGGGCTGGGTCCCAGCAATATGTGTTTAACAAGCCCTTCAGGTGCTTATAGTAAGTTTGAGAACCACCACCTAGCAAATGAAGTGAATCTGGCGTTCATGCAGAAAGCCATTGCTGGCCAAATTAAAGGGTTTGCTGGTGAGAGAACAGGAAAAGCAAGGGGTCTAGAACTGTTTCACTTTTTAAATCTGTGCCAAATTTACTGGGGAAAAAAATGTAAACCTTTAACTTACCTCATCTGTACAATTTGCAATGGCTGAGTCCCTCACATTGTAGTAAACCTTGTTGTACCCTTGGAATGATTGTCTACTGCAATATAGTATATACACAGAGTACAAAAAGGGTATAGCTGGAGGAGAAAGGGTGAAAGATTATGAATCCCAGGTGTCTGGTCCCAGGAGGAATAATTCCTGTCCTCTCTCCAACCCTGCCCACCCTCTTATGCTAGATAGTAACAGCAAAAAGTTATCCAAGACTGCTCCGCATTCACACGCTTCCCACCAACAAACCTCCCATGGCTATCCCACAACCTTTCTGAAGTAGCTTCCTGGATCAAGCCCCACCGGGCAGCTTGGAAGAGAAGCTGGGAGGGATGAGGGGCTCCACTAGCATTCCTTGTGACTTCTGAGTGTAGCTGCCCTGGGTGTCACCTGCAGAGCGTGGATAGAGAAAAAGCAACAGTTCTAAGCCCAGTCTCTAAGTGAGAGCCTGAGATGTGGCACTGCTCCCCAGGACCAAGGTTGTCTAAGAAAGGCTGGGTCTAAGAGTCTCCCTCTGGGGAGGTCAGTACAGATCCCAAGGCAGACAGGATTATCAAAGGGCCTAGATGAGAACATTCATTGTTTAGAAAAATAAAAATTAGACTGACACCTTTTTGAAGGCACGCAGCCTATCCATGGCACACAAACTAACAAACTTTTAGTCAAGACACTCAAGAAGTAGGTATACCCCTGCTAAAAGTAACGCTGGTGCTGAGAAGAGGTGCCAAAACTGGCTGTTAGGAGTGGGAGGAGAGGAAAGTTGCAAGAGGAGACAGCAGTTACTGTCTTGAGGGGAAGCTCAGGGTCTGTCACAGTGGCAGCTGAAAAGCCACTGGCCAAATGGACGCCAAGGACTACTATCATCACAGGTGATAAGATCATGGTTGAATGTATCTGAGTGTGTGCTGGGGGCTGAGAGGGGCTTAGTGGTGTAAGGAGATGGGGCTCGCCGGGGCAAGGAGCGCGCGGAGACGATCTTAAGCAATATGACGAGGGGTGAGAAAAGGCTGCGGAAAATAAAGGGGCCTAGACCACTCCTCCCTCGGTTCCGGGGGGACAGTTGGCGCGGAAGCGTTAGGAGGTACGAGGTACGGACTAACTACATTTCTGCAGGCCCCAGGAGGGGGCAGAGGGCGGTGGCTGGAAAGGAAAGGAAGCCAGGAGCGCCATCCATGTCCTCGGAGACACTGGCTCCGGCCACCAGGAAACACAGAGACCACAACGTCTCGGCCCCCTCAGTACACCGCCGCCACCCCTTCCCCAGGACACGGCGATTTCCCCAAGCTCTGGGGGGCGGGGTCTCCGGTCCCTCCCCCTCCTCCCCGCCCTGCCCGGCTCTGCCCGATCTGGTCCGGCCCGGTCCAACCCGGCCCGGCCCAGCCCACTCAGGACTCACGGCTCCGACAGCTCCAGCGGCTCCTCCCCTGCCCCGGCTTCTCTCCCACCCACTCCCGACCGAAATAGCGCCGCCGGATCCGAGCCGCGCGGGGCCTAGCGGGTCGGAACACGTGGGGCCTTTGCGTCCGGAACCGGAAGCGATCGCTCGCCCCGCCTTCTTGCCGCGCTGGAGCCTTTCTAGGCTGTAGGAGGTTTGGTCCTCTCTATGCGCCCTCCGCGGGCTGCGGCTCCGTGCTCCCAGAGCACCCAGTGCGAAGAAGCCTCGGACCCCACAGCTTCCGTCCGCGGCCCCCAACTCCACTCTGCAGCGAATGAATTAACATCTTGGGCCTTTCATTTACACGCATACCTTCTGCAAGGGTTTTCTTTTTTCTTTTCTGTTTTTAATCTTTTGTGTGTTTGTTTTCATTTGGATACCTCTACGTGTTTTTCTTGATATTTTTTTTCTTTGCATTGTCCGCTGCAGCATGGTAGAAAAGGGCAGCGTTAGGTTTGAATACTGGCTGTTGCATTCACCATCAGCAGCAGGGCCTCGGCCGAATCACTCCATCTTTGAACCCTATTGTGCATCATAGAAAATGGGCATAATAATACCGTTTACTCTGAGGACTAAATGATACATTGCCCATGAACTGAATGGAACATCAGAAGCTCAGAAAGAGAATAGTTATGGTATCACTGTTTTTTCTTTCCCTTTGAGTGTTGCTTCGTATTTCTTTACTTTCAGGCTGTCTTCCCTGATCTCACTTGTTCGTTTTTGTCTTTTGGGGACCTTTCTGCCCATACCTGACATTTTCCTTTGCTCTCGTCCCTTTTACCCTGTAAGTCACCACTCTCCACGTGCCATGTGCCACCTCGTTTTCATGGGACACGTTGCTGGGATCTGTTTACTGGGTTTGAACCAAAGGATTAGTTACTTTTGGTGAAGTGGGAGTGTATTAGCGAAACAGAACTAATAGATGTGAACCCAGAAGGCAGGACAACTCCAAGCGGGGAGGGGGGCTTCCAGATCATAGGTAGATAGGAGACAAATAGTTGCATTCTTTTGAGTTTCTGATTAGCCCTTCCAAAGGAGGCTGTCAGATATGCATTTATCTCAGTGAGCAGAGGGGTGACTTTGAATAGAAGGGGAAGCAGGTTTGCCCTAGGCAGTTCCTGGCTTGAATTTTCTCTTTAGTTTAGTGATTTTGGGGGCCCAGATATTTTCCTTTCACACAGGGTATGTATAAACATATAAAAGGAGATTTATTATAAGGAATTGGCTCACATGATTATGGTCGTTGAAAGGTCCCGACATCTGCTAACTGCAAGCTGGAGAACCAAGGAAGCTGGTGGTATAATTCAGTCTGAAGCTGAAGGTCTGAGAACCAGAAAGAGATTGAGGTGCTGGTGTCTGAAGGCCAGAAAGCAGGAGGAGATGACATCCCAGCTCAAGAAGAGAGAGGTGAATTTACTCTTCCTCTGCCTTTTTATTCTGTTTGGGCCCTCAATGGATTGGATGGTGCCTACGCATATTGGTGAGAGTGATTTTCTTAGTCTACTGATTCAAATGTAATCTCTCTCTTTTTTTTAGACAGTCTTGTGCAACCTCCGCCTCCCAGTTCTCCTGCCTCAGCCTCCCTAATAGCTGGGATTACAAGGCATGCGCCATCATGCCCGGCAATTTTTTTTTTTTTTTTGTATTTTTAGTGGAGACCGGGTTTCACCATATTGGCCAGAAACACCCTCACAGACGCACCTACTAATAATGTTTTACCTGTTATCTGGGCATCCCTTAGCTAGTCAAGTTGACACATAAAATTACCCAATACAAAGAGAAATATACATTTCATGAAAGCCTACTGGGTACCAAATGTTTTTCTCTGTAAATCTCATTGAATATTTAAAAATATTAGTATTAAGTGCATAAATAATACATAAACATGTTCTTCTAAACATTTGCTGCATTACAGTGTTAAAGAAAAAATTATTCAGTGATACTTGTTAAAGCATGGTAAGGGAGACCTTATTCAGGAGCAGGAAAGGTAAACCACTGCAATGAAGTCTTGCTGTAGGGACGAGAGATTGGGCTCAACTCTAAATACAGAATGGGCAAGTGGGAATTTATAGTCAAGGAAATTTTTTTGGAGTTTGGGATGCCAATGGATTGAAAATTACTAAGGGGAACCATCAGGCATAAGGGGGATTCTGGCTAAGTCAACCTAATGGGATTCTTGCTGAAGACAGGTCAGGGTGATCAGATATCACCTGTGGGATGGTGGAGGATGAGGACCCTGACCAGGTATTAAAGATGGTCAGATATCAAGGATGGGGGAGTTCCTGCTAAAGGACTTAGAGTTCTTTGCTAACATTAGATCTTACAAGGAAGTACACCAATAGCCCTAGGAGGAGTTTCAGAAGCCTGACAAGTTTGGCGAAGAAAAGAGATTTTGTGAATGGATAACCCTAATGACTTTTTTTTTTTTGAGATGGAGTCTTGCTCTGCCGCCAGGCTGGAGTGCAGTGGCACCATCTCGGCTCACTGCAACCTCAGCCTCCCGGGTTCAAATGATTCTCCTGCCTCAGCCTCCTGAGTAGCTGGGACTACGGGCATGCACCACCAAGCCCAGCTAATTTTTGTATTTTTAGTAGAGACAGGTTTCACAATGTTGGCTAGGATGGTCTCAATCTCTTGACCTCATGATCCGGTGGCCTCAGCCTCTCAAAGTGCTGGGATTACAGGCGTGAGCCACCGCACCCGGCCACTAATGACATTTTTACCAACCCTGGCTTCCTCCTCTCTCTCCAGAAGTTAGCTGTTCTTATGACCCGAATGTGTTTATCTTCCAGATCTTTTTCTTTATTTTCATGTGCTGTGTACATATGTATCCACAGAAAGTAAATAGTATTATTTTCTGTGTACATATGTGTATGCCCGTGTGTTCATGTTGAATTCTTCAATTTGTTTTCTCTTAGCAGTGGGCCTTGGAGATCTGTTGATAGCAGTAAATAAAAATTTCCCTTATTCCTTCTACTTTCTGCATAACATTCCATAGTGTAAATAGCAATTTGCCTATTGAAAACATATGTTTTTATAATTGTTGGGGTTACAAACAATGCTATAATGATCACCCTCTTTGTGCATACATGCACAAAGACGGATACTGAGAAAGAGTATTGCTGGGTTAAAGGTTGTACACATTTAATGAATACTGTCAAGTTTTCCTCCCAAATGAATGCACCTGTTTACACTCTTAACAGCAGTGTATGAGATTTTTCCCCCCATATCCATGCCCTTACATCATGTTGCCAAATTGTAAATCTCAGACAGTTTAATGGGCAAACACAATATCTAATTGTTTTACTTTGCCTTTCCATCATTAATGGTGAGACTGAACTTTCTTCCATACATTTGTTGGTAATTTGTAGTTTTCCTATGAGTTTTATTTTTCTATTGGACTTTTTGTTTTTTTAAATTGGTTGTTAGATGTTCTCTATGTATCCTAGATCCTAATCATTTTACATATATGTTGCAAGAGATATATTAATTTTATATGTCAACTTGACTAAATTCATGAAAACGTACTGTGTACAAGATATTTTTCTCTATAATCTCCTTGAATATTTTTAAATATTAATATTAATGTTTTCCTTACCTTTATAGATTATTGTTTAACTTTGTAGTGTTAAAGTTTCAAATCTGTTACACTCTTTCCTCCAGTGGCTTCAAATTAGGTGTTTTATTTAAGAATATCTTTTCTGCACCAAAGTCATAAAGGCTTCTCCTGTATTTTCTTCTACTACTTTTTGCTTCTCCTTTTTATGATTAGGTTTGGAATTTTGTGAATGATATAAACTGGGGATTCTAATCTAATATCAGTGGTAATCAATTTCTACTTTGAAAACATGGAGTATGAGATATTTACATAATAGAGGATATATTGACATACAAAAGATATAATCCATATGTGATGCGATATGAATTCTGTCAGTGCAGTTATCTGGTCCTTCATTTGTCAATGATTGTTTGAGTTACTGCTCTTACAAGACGCTGTGGTAGGTATATGGAACAGAATGGAGAATAAGAAGGATGTAATATCTATTCTCGTTGATCTAACTTTCACGGGTTGTGTGTGTGTATGATATGAAGGAGTTGGGGAAGAAGAAAACAGTTTAAATAACTGACTCTATTCACTAACTGTGGTTATTTAATTATGATTAATTAAATTAATTATAATTGTTGTAAGTTCTCCAAAGGAGAAATACAGAGTGCTATGAGAACTTGTAACTGGAGGTCCTAATCCTGGCGGTGGTGCTGGTAGAGAGGTAGTTAGGGAAAGCTTTCTTGAATAGTGACATTTGAACTGAGTCTGTGGAATGCCTGGGCAAGCTGAGGCTGGAGGTGAGGTTAGGAGATGGGGTATAAACCAAAAAGTGTCTGAGACATATCTCCATTGATTTAGAGGTTTATTTTGCCAAGGTTGAGGACGCACCATGGAAAAGTAGACACAAGTTACAGTAGCATCTGTGGCCTGTGCTTTTTCCAAAGAGCGTTTTGAGGACTTCAATATTTAAAGGAGAAAGAGCAGGCAGGAAAGGAAGGAGGAAAGAAAGAAAAGGGGAGGGTAGGCAGCTAGCAAGAAGTCCCATTCTTGTGAAGTGCTCAGCAATCCACGTTTTACATCTGAAAAACAAGTAGTGGGGACAAAGTCAGTTATGCATAGATCTGCATTTTCTATAAGGTATAGTAAACGTGAAGTAAAGTAAACGTGTCTAGAAACAAAAGGAATTTCAGAAACAAACATGTTTAGAAACAAAAAGTATGTGTTTAGAAACAAAACAAAAGGAAGGCAGTTTTTGCATGATTCAGTTCCCAAGCATAGCTTTTACCTTTGGCACAGTGAGTTTGGGGTCCCAAGATTTTGTCTTCCTTTCACTGAGGTCAGTAAAAAAGAATACTTGAAGTAATGGGAAATTGTGTATACCAGAGCTCTGAAATGGGAAGGAGCTTGGTATACTGGAGAAACTGAGAGGAGACTGGTGTGGCTGTGGTCTGAGAGCAATAGCGGAATTTGTGAGACCTGATACTGTGGACAGAGATCAGACCTAATAGACTAATGGTCTTATAGGTCAAATTAACTGCTAAAATTAATGAGAAGCTGGTCGGGTATGGTGGCTTACACCTGTAACCCCAGCACTTTGGGAGGTTGAGGCTGGTACACCTGAGCTTAGGAGTTTGAGACCAGCCTAGGAAACATGGTGAAACCCTGTCTCTACAAAAAAATACACACACACACACACACACACTTAGCTAGGTGTGGTGGCATGCATCTGTGGTCCCAGCTACTCGGAAGGCTGAGGTGGGAGGATCACTTGAGCCCAGGAGGTGGAGGTTGCAGTGAGCCAAGATCACGCCACTGCACTCCAGCCTGGGCAGCAGAGTGAGACGCTGTCTCCAAAGCAAAACATAAATAAATAAATAAATAAATAAAATAAATAAAATTAACGGAAAGCCATTGGAGTTTTTTTTATTAATTGAGCAACATGATTAGATATGCACCTTTGTAAGGTCTTTCTGGTCACCGAGGAGAATGGAGGGGACCATGAGTGGATGAGGAGAGATAACTTAGGAAGCTCTTACTGTAGATCAGGTACTTGGACTAAAGCAATAATAGTAGATATGGAGGGCATTGGGTTATTTCTTTAAAACTGCTTGATGCAGAGCAAAGAACTAATTGTTGGAAAGATGGTTATTGTTAGAAAAATTGTTAGAGGCCGGGCGCGGTGGCTCAAGCCTGTAATCCCAGCACTTTGGGAGGCCGAGACGGGCGGATCACGAGGTCAGGAGATGGAGACCATCCTGGCTAACACAGTGAAACCCTGTCTCTACTACAAAATACAAAAAACTAGCCGGGCGAGGTGGTGGGCGCCTGTAGTCCCAGCTACTCGGGAGGCTGAGGCAGGAGAATGGTGTAAACCCGCGAGGCGGAGCTTGCAGTGAGCTGAGATCTGGCCACTGCACTCCGGCCTGGGCGACAGAGCGAAACTCCGTCTCAAAAAAAAAAAAAAAAGAAAAATTGTTGGAAAATAGGATAGAGAGAGGTTATTTCCCAAAAGCTGAAGAAATGGCAGGGGTAATTAGTGATAGTGAAGTGAGCCCAGCTGAAAGTTTGCATAGGAGTTGCACTCTCCTAGTTGTTCAATCCAAGTCTGACTGAACACCAGGTATAGAAAGTGAATGGTTCTGGAAGAGCTATGTGTACATGGCATTTTTGTAATTAGAGTCATTTAGACTTGCAAGACGAATCTGTAATTCAAAGTGACCTGGTGGTGAGCCACTTGGTCAGGCACTAGAAAGATACCTTGGTAAGTATATGATTATCTGCATTCTAATGTGTCTGTATTATGCTTTATATTTTCTCATATTTGATTTTTACACTCTGATCCCCAAGTTAGTTGGTCATTTGTGAATACCATGGAGTGATAAGGTCCTGATAAAAACAGAGGTGGCTTTAGAGATATACCTTAAGGAAGACAGCAGGAAATCTAGTCTGAGACACGTTGAGAAAAATGGTCTGTAGCTGGATAAGCTTGGAAAAGACCATATACTCCATCCTCTTCTTGGAAATTTATAATGCATGCGAAGATCCGTAGAAATGAAAAACAAAGCTGAGTTTATTAGTTGACATGTAAGGGAGAGCTATATCATTCAATGTGATGGGAGTGAGTCTTTCTGAGTTAAAAGAGGAAAGATGAAATCTAGGATAAGAACTGGAAGTTTTGCTCCAATAAGGCAGGATCTTGAAGACTATCATTGGTTAAGTAGAGGATTGTAAAGTATTATTTTGGAATGGCAATTGCTCTGGTTTTCAATAATTATGGGACAGGTGTTTTTTTTTTCTTCCAACTTTTGTTTTGGGTCGAGGGAGTACATGTGCAGGTTTGTTATAGGGGTAAATTGCTTGTCACTGAGGTTTGATGCACAAATGATCCCATCACCCAGGTAGTGAGCACAGTATCCAATAGGTAGTTTTTTGATTCTCACTCTTCTGCCTCCCTCCACCCTCAAGTAGGCCCCAGTGTCTGTTGTCTCCTTGGTGTCCATGTGTACTCAATGTTTAGCTCCTACTTATAAGTGAGAACATGTGGTATCTTGTTTTCTGTTCCTGTGTTAATTTGCTTACAATAATGGCCTCCAGCTCCATCTATTTTGCTGCAGAAGACAGGATGTCATTCTTTTTTGTGGCCACATAGTATTCCATGGTATATATGTACCACATTTTCTTTATCCAGTCCATCATTGAGGGGTATTTAGGTTGATTCCATGTCTTTGCTATTGTGGAATAGTGCTGCAGTGAACATATGTGTACATGTGTCTTTATGGTTGAATGATTTATATTCCTTTGCGTTTATACCCAGTAATGGGATTGCTGGGTCAAATAGCAATTCTGTTTTACATTCAAGAAGTCTCCAAATTGCTTTCCACAGTAACTGAACTAATTTACGTTCCCACCAGCGGTGTGTATGCATTCCCCTTTCTCTGCAACCTTGCCAGCATCTGTTATTTCTCTTTTACTTTTTAATAATAGGCATTCTGACTGATATGAGATGATATCCCACTGTAGTTTTGATTTGTATTTCTTTAATGATTAGTGATGTTGGGCATTGTTTCCCTTGAATTTGTTGGTCACGTGTATGTCTTCTTTTGAGAAGTGTCTGTTCATGCCATTTGCCCATTTTTTAATGGAATTGTTTGTTTTTTGCTTGTTGAATTGTTTAAGTTGCTTATATTTTCTCCCATTCTGTAGATTGGCTGTTTACTCTGTTAATAGTTTCTTTTGCTGTGCAGAAGCTCCTTAGTTTAATTAGGTCCCACTTGTCAATTTTTATTTTGCTGCAGTTGCCTTTGGAGTCTTCATCATGAAATCTTTGCCAGGACCTATGTCCAGTATGGTATTTCCTATGTTTTCTTCTAGGATTTCTATAGTTTTAGGTTTTATATTTAAGTCTTTACTCCATCTTGAGTTGATTTTTGTGCATAGTGAAAGGAAGGGATCCAGTTTTAAACTTCCGCATATGGCTAGCCAGTTGTCCCAGCATCATTTATTGAATAGGGAGTCCTTTCCCCATTGCTTGTTTTTGTCAACTTTGTTGAAGATCAGATGGTTGTAGGTGTGTGGCTTTATTTCTGGATTTTCTAACCGGTTCCATTGGTCTCTGTGTCTGTTTCTGTATGGGCATAAGTCTTAATGAATTCCAAGATGGGATGAATAAAGCTATGTTGGGTTCAAGATCATATAGGAGGTACTTTTATACACATATGTTTGAGATTTGGAAATTATTTTCTCTAACTTAGTGTTATGGATTCTCAGAAGTTCAATAATGAAGGAATCTACTTAACCTTTTCTAACCCTGCGTTCCCCCCACCCAGTTTGAATTCTGAGTCCTGTTTATGAATATCCTGTGGCATCATGAAAACACTGCTTTACTTAAGTGTGTGTATTTTCATAAAACAAATTATCTCTAAAGTTAATTGTTAAAGATTTGTTTCAGGTCTATCCAGGCGCTCAACTTTGTCATTAAAGTTATTGATACTAGAAAAATAATATCCAGGGATCTGGGTAGGTTGTTCGTGATATTGTTTGAATGGATCTTTTTGTAATTCCTTACTCTGCTGGAGAAAAGTAGAGTAGGAAAGACATTTTGGCTTTAGAGACCTGAGAAACAGTAGGGTACAATGTGAGGTCTCAAGTTCTGTCTTGTCTCTGTGGCCAGGGCTCCTTTTCTTTAAAACAGCACTCTATCTTCTCTGGACACTGGAGGCCGCCCACAATCTCCTTCATGTCTTTGCCTCCCTTGTAGGTGAGGGAAAGTCAGATCTTAGGCATGGTTCCCTGGAAGTCTTCTTGTAATTCATATCATTCTTGATGTTCAGGAGGCTTCACCGTTGGATAGACTTCTGTAACTCTAGCATTTCCAACTCCTAGAACTAATACCCCTGCAGACTACTGTAATACCCCCCTACACACACGTGCACACACACGTTTTTTCCCGGTAGAATCAGTACCAGGAACATAGCTTGGTATATGATATCAATATATCAGTAAGACATAAACATGCATGAATACATGTCTATTTTAAGTTTTATGAATTAAAGCCTTGTGGTATTCTCACACCTGTTCTTCCCTCCTTCTCCCTTTTCTTGGATCTGCCAAAATGTTTTTATCCTACCCTTTGTCTGCCATTAGACATGAAACCCTTAAGGTCATAGGCTAGGCCCAGAAAAACTAATATTTATGAGATTTGAAGGCAAATTTTTAAAAACTTTTTAAAAGCAATAATATAGCCCAGATGTTCCAATACCTCTAGATTTAGGTTACCTTGAGTACTTGCCCAAGCCCCTGCAAATGTGAAGTGCTTCCTAAAATTTCTGCATATTCTGTGGCCATCTCTGTGATATTCTCTGTGGGCTGTTTCTAATCCAAACTATATAATTCCAGACATGAAACTTTATTCCTCCTTGACTCACATACAACACACACATACATGAATGCATGTGACATGCATGTTCTGTTCATACAGGCATTTGGTAATATAGGAGACTTTACTGAAGGTTTGAGGGCAAGACAGATCAACATTGTAGAAATGTGACTTCAAACCGAGCATTAGGCATCTCCATTCTTAAACTGCTTTTTAGGTGCCCTGACTCTGAGGAATTTCCACTGACTTCTTCCCACAGACTCCTCTGCTTTGCTCCATTTTGGGTTCCTTTTTTCTTCCTTTCTCTGTCATTTCTTTTTTGGAAAATATTAAATGTTATCTTTTTTTTTTCTCATTCAGGGCACTCTAAACCATTCTTTGATGATAGAGCTCATGATAATATTGATGTCCTTAGGTTCTCTCCCTTCCTTTACTTCCAAATGATCTATTTCTCCTGCACAGCTCCAAGACAGTTCCCTCTCTAAGAGAAAATCAGGTACAGCAGTTGAGATAATAATATTTTTTCTCATTACATTTTGTTTTGAATTTTCAATTCAATATTAAAAGGAATGTGCAGTGTTGATGAAAGGAGTCAAACTCTGTAAAATATTGGAAGAGATTTATTCTGACCCCAATACAAGTGAACATGGCCTGTGGCACAGCCCTCAGGAGATCCTGAGAACATGTGCCCAAGGTGGTTGGGTCACAGCTTGGATTTATACACTTTAGAGAGACATGAGACATCAGTCAGATACATTTAAGATATACATTGTTTCTATCCAGAAAAGTAGGATAACTTGAAGTAGGGGGTGGGGGGCTTCCAGGTTATAGGTAGATTTAAAAATTTTCTGATTGGCAATTGGTTGAAAGAGTTATTATCAATAGAAAGGAATGTCTGGGTTATGATAAGGGGTTGTGGAGACCAGTTTTATCAAGCAAATGCAGCTTCCAGGTAGTAAGCTTCAGAGAGAATAGATTGTACATTTGTAAATGTTTCTTATCAGACTTAAGGTCTGTGTTGATGTTAAATGCTGGTCAGCTTTTCCTGAATTCCAAAAGGGAGGAGGGCATAATGAGGCGTGTCTGACCCCTTCTTCCTGTCATGATCTGAACCAGTCTTTCAGGTTAACTTTGGAGTGCCCTGGCCAAGAGGAGGAGTCCATTCAGATGACTGAGGGACCCTTAGAATTTTATTTTGTGTTTACAGCAGTTATCTTTTTTTTTTTGGCCATAGTTTAATGGTCTTTTAATGCTAGTTTTTCTTTACTGTTGGGAAGGGACATATCTAATACTCATTATCACAAACTGAATCACCTGCATTATCATTGCCTAAAAAGATATCTTACCTAAAGACAAGGTCTGATCAGTAGGTTTGTAGCCTACTTTGAGGGACTTTGCACACTAACCCTGAAACCAGCCCAGTTGTCCCACACAAAAGATATTTATGGATTTTTAAATGAACACAGAAATTGACACTCTGTCTTAAAACCTGAAACTTACATTTGTCTTAACTGAGTTCCTTCCTCAGGAAACTGACTCTTGGGCAAAAGACTGAATGAAGCCCACTAGATCACCAATCCAGACAACAAGATGCCTGGCCCCTCATTCATCATGATGGCTTTCTTACCCTCCCTAATTCCTGTTTTCTCACCTTACCAACTCTTCTTCCTTACCCCTCTCTAATTCCTATTCTCCCTCCCTTCCACTATATATAAAACCTCCCAATTTTAGGCGTTTGGGGAGATGGATTTGAGACTTTACCTCCCATTTTTCTTGGCTGCAGCATTCAGTTAAAGCCTTCTTCCCTGGCAATGCTCAGTGACTCGGTGATCGATATTATGTGCAGCAAGCACCAGGACCTGACTGAACCCTGGGGGTTTCAGTGACAACCTACATGTGAACCCTGAGCTTCATGTAACCTTGGGGCTACATTTTCCAGTAGGAAAGCGTTTCTAGATATATTGGCTCTGAGACTTTTCCTAGCTTCCTAGGCACTTGGTTTACTTATATTGGAGCCCAGGAACTGCTGTAATCCATGAACTGTAAATGGAAATTTTTATAAGATGTTCTCAAGTTTTGGTATTATCTGAGGATGAACACCTCTAAGTTTATCTAAAAATTTGGATTATTTCAAGATAGAAGTCCCCTTATTGAGATACTGTCAAACACAAAGCTGATTCATTTCAAACATTTTGGAAGGAACATTAGAATTATGAGAAGTCTGTAGCGTGCTTCTCTTATGATGAAGATGATAGGAACTAAGAAAATGAGATGTGGAATGTTTTATATTTTTGACAAGAAGATGAGGCAAAGAGGGTGGTCATAAAAAAAAGATGGTGGTCATAAACAAAGAGGGAGACAGGATTCCTTACACATTTTTAAAGTTGTTGACATTTGTGACTGACCTTAGTGGTTTCTACTTTCAGTTTACCATTGACAAGTTCAGAGTTCTACTTCATGCATCTGAGGATATCCTGAGATTTCCTTGTTGAAGAATTACATTGTTTCTTCTCAAGAAAAACTCCTAGTTCATTTACATGTAACAAGTTCTCATAGGAGACCCTAACCATGATGGTTTGCTTTTGCATCTTTATCTTACTATAGCATTTAATCAGAACTTCTGGGATTTTGGGAGGAGCCTGTTTTACCAAACTTCTCCAAAATCCTCTCTCAACTTTAATTGTTTTTAATCTGCATTAAGCTCATTTTGATGTGTTGCATGTTTTACTTTGCATGACCAGTCTTTGGGCAAGTCATTGCCTTTCTTAAGGCTCCCTTCACCTCCTTGTTTCTAATGGTATAAATAAAAGGATTCAGAAGCGGGGTGAGGATAGTATTTAGCACAGACACCACCTTATTAATCTTAAAGGAGGAGTGTGCTGTGGGTCTTAGGTACATGAACAGAACAGCCCCATAGAGCAGGGAGACAACTGTCAGGTGCGAGGCACAGGTAGAGAAGGCCTTCTGGCGGCCTGTGGCTGAAGGAATCCGTAGGATTGTGAACAGAATGTAGATATAAGAAATCATATTAAAGAGGAGTGACCCTGGGATCACAAGGACAGTTGCCAGGACACCCAGGAGTTCCAAAATGCTGGTGTCTATGCAGGCGGCTTTCAAAATGGGTCCAACATCACAGTAGAAATGATTGATAACATTATTGCCACAGAACGGCAACTGGATGAGCAGCATCATCTGACAAAAGACAGTGGTGAAGCCCACCACCCAGGAGCTCAGGGCCAGCTGCAGGCAGAGTTTGCTGGTCATGATGGTGGGATAGCGAAGGGGCTTGCAGATGGCCAGGTAGCGGTCAAAAGACATGATAGTGAGGATCAAGAACTCGGTGGTGCCCAGGAAGAAGTGGAAGAAGGCCTGCAGCAGGCAGCAGGAAATGCAGATTACCGTTCTTGCCACTACAAAGGTTTCTAGCAGTTTGGGGATGACTGTGGTGGTGTACCAGATCTCTAGGAAAGACAAATTACAAAGGAAGAAGTACATTGGAATTTGTAGCCTGGGCACAGCCCACACAATGGCAATAATAAGCCCATTGCCTGTAAGGGTTAATATGTAGATGAGAAGTATTGCTATAAAGAGAGGTGTTTGTAGGCCTTGGATACCAGGAAAGCCTAGGAGGATGAATTCTGTGATTACTGTCCCATTTCTCCTGTCCCTTGATACCCTAGAAAGACAAGCAAGAAAGCTCCTGAGAATCTTAGAGCACAGTTGATTATAGTTGGTACAAAAAATAAGGAGGATTCTGGCTATGTCGGGTCCTCCCTCATTCACATATAAATACGCACGGGCCAACCCTTCTTTACTGATGACTTGGCTGGTTCTTTTGTCAGCAAAACCAGCTTCTAATGGACTTTGAATGTGTTAAATACACTTGATGAATGCAAAGTATTTTTTCACCCTTATACAACTCTGAGAATAATCATGTTAAATGTGGTTGCTTGTTGTCAATTATTCATATGACTATTTTAAATGCATAGTGTGTATAACAACATATGTACATACACATGGCTGTGAGTTCATAAGAAATTAATCCCTACTCTCAGAGTCTGAAAAAGAGTTACTGATTATATTACAGATACATTTAAAGAAGCCATTATTGTGTGTGGGTGTGAGTGTGTTTATTGAAATAGCCTCAAATCATTGCTATTATATTAGTGGTGAGATACAAGATAACAGAACAGGTGTTTTTCTAAAAATCCACTTCCATATTCTAGTTCAGACTCCTTTGTTAAAGGAATCAAAAATAACATTTAAAACTAAATGAATAAAACTGTTTAGGAAGTAGAGAGATATATTCAACTCAAATTCAAAATCTCAGAACGAGCTGAGTCAAAGCCTGTTATATGGAAGCACCTAATAAATGTATATGGGATAAAGATCTGCAGACTCTAATCTCCAAAAGTGAAAGGTTAGCAAATGCTAAGGATAACAAAATGGGAACTCTGAAAAGTACATTTTTGTCAAAACTTTTTTTGTGACTAAATGTCTTTTTATACCAAGTAAAGTATTTCTATTTGTATGTGTATATTCATAGGCTGAGAACATCCTTTCTGTTCTACTAAAATTCAGCAGAAAATAGTAAAACTACTTCCTTTCTTATTGAGGCTAGTCTTCCATATGGGTTTCCTTTGAAATGGGTAAGATAAATTACCGTGAAATGAATTTCACAATTTTCAAAGTGCGTGAGAAACTTAGCATGAAACAGGCAACTTACAGGTCATTGATAGGTTGTTTCATTCTTCCCTCATGTGAGATAACTGTAATTCTCTGAGGGCTTGCTTAGGGAAGAAAAACACTTCCATTTTCTCCCACCTCTTTTCTAGACAAGGAAAAGATTCTTTGTCTACAATCTCGCAAGCTCTAGTGCCTTTCCACAAAATGATGAGAGACAGAGAAGTATTTGAATTTGCACTAATGGCCAATATAACTGGCTGCGAACCTGGTCTCTTTCTATAGGATAGGTATGGGATTATCTTCATTCCCCATGCAGAGAAGAGAGGCAATCTCTATAGCTCAATATCATATTTCCAAGGGCTACACATTCTACCATTTGGAGAATTAGACCTATGAATTCCACAAGCATTTGTTGAGAGCTTACTATGCTTCAAGTCCTGCTAGGCAATTAAAGAGCTTATCAGATAGATAGATAGGTAGATAGATAGATAGATAGATAGATAGATAGATAGATAGATAGATAGATAGATACTATATATAGTATAATAATTACAACATGACTCAGTGAGGGAAAGTGTAGAGTTGTGCACAGATTGTTTTGAAAACACTTAGAAGGGATTCTTCACCCATCTTTAGCAGGGGTTAAGGAAGTTTTTCTAAACAAGGAAAGGCCTAAGCTGAGTCCTAGAGTTCAATAGGAAAAGAAAGTGGAGTAAGGAGAGAGGGGGAATGCATTCCAGACAAGGATTCAGTTTTTGTGAAACAGAACCAGAGCAGAGAATTTCACTTGAGCTGGAGCTGGGAGTCAGACTTGTCCTGGTACTTATGATAAATTAACAGTTAGGACAGTTTACATGAGAGATTCATGAAGCTTTTGGAGCAAAGAATCTTGAGTCAGGGAGTTTGCAAGTGTGTGTGTGTGTGTGTGTGTGTGTGAAGTATGGTGTCAGCCATTCTCTGTAACACATGTACATGTGGATCTAAGCTTTATGGAGGAAGGGGCTGCAGGTGGTATCTGCATGACCTCTTTTGAGATTCTGGTCACAGACAGCACTGCTGTGGCATCCAGGTGACCACGTGGGGCACATACAGGGGACAGACATACTCTCTCTGCTTTTGTCAGGAACATGGCTTGTTTTGGTAGCATGAGGGTCCGAGAATAGCAGCAGCAGTGGCAGCAGAAATGATACCAGCAAAAGTGGCAGTGCCTGGCAAGGGGAGTGGTCCTCAGCAGAAGGAATGCTGAGAAGGTAGAAGTGGCAGGAATGAGGAATCAGGCAGTAGCTGTCCTGACAGCTGCATAGACTGGGTTTTGAGCACATGTGAAGTTTTGTGAGATGTGGAGGGAAGTGGGGATGTCTCAAGTTAGCAGGTAAAAGCAATATTCAAAGAAACACGGGAAAGCAGCCCCAGGAACCTAAAGTTATAGAGCTAAGATACTGGATTAAACACTGCCGTCTATATGCCTATTACATTTCAATCCTACACTCTCGACTTTTTTTTTTTCCTTTAAAAAAGCCACAATGTATAGGGTCAAATGGATTTGTGCATATCCACCAGGGTCCAAGTCACCAGCTCCTGTTAACTTTACTTCTTACTCACTCTCTAGTGTGTGTCCTTCTTTCCGTCTCTCTTTGGCTCCGGTAAATCATGCTGTCATCTCCCGTCAGGATTCGAACACAGCCTCCTAACAGGACTTCCTGTCTCCTGACTTGCTGTGCTCTTTCCTACCCATGGTTCAAACTGTAGCAAGGGGGACCATTCTAATTCTGACTATGCCACTCCTCAGAACCTTGAAGTTAACATCCCAGACTCCTCAGCATGACATTTAAGACCACTGATGATCTTGTCTTACCTACCTTTCCAGCATGATTTTCTGCCATTTACCATTTTTCCTTCTGCCTTCCTTCTTCTATGCTCCACACTTACTGAATTACTCAGGTTTAGAGGTTAGCAAACTACAGCCCTGTTTTTGTAAAGTTTCACTAATACATAGCCACACTCATCTGTTTACCTATTGCCTGTGGCTGCTTTTGTGCTATAATGGTGAAGTTTAATAATTGTGACAGTGACCATATGACCCCCAAAGTCTAAAATGTTTACTCTCTGGCCCTTTACAGAAACAGCTGGCTGACTCCAGCTCTAGTTCCCCAATTATGCCTTCTTCTTTCTTGCCTCCCAGTCATTGCCCACGCTGTTCTCTTCACCAGAAGTACTCTTCCTGACTTTCTCCATTATTTGGCTAAGTCTTGTCTGAATTCTAAATTTAAGTTCAGGAGCCACCTCCATGGGAAGCCTTCCTTAACTTACCATCTCTAGTCCAGTTAAGGTGCTGCTCCTACACACTTTCCTAATGCCCTGTGCATATCTGTACCTGAATACTTTGTAGAATGGTGTTCATTGTTTGCTTAGCTTCTGCTATAGACTCTAAGCCATTTACAGGCAGCAATAGTATCTGCAGGGCTAAAGCATAGGGCTTGACACAAAATAAGCTCTCAAAATATATTTTCTAAATGATTATGTAAATGGATAGCTTGTTGACACTCTATCCCCAGTTACCTAGAAGTTTATGGAAACTGACACATGCACATGTTTATAGATGTCACCGTTTCCTGTATTTCAGATGCTCAAGTCATATCATGACAGAAACTGTTTGCTAAATAATTTGTCTCCCAGTTTGCTGCTGCTTCCAGCTTTTTCTGATGTGAGTTTTGCTGCGTGAAAACCTTTCTGCTCCATCTTTCCCTAATCAGGGATATGCTGGTATTTTGTTTCGTTTTTACTGTGTTCTAGTTCTTTTCCCAGCTTCTTCAGGCTACCTGAGTATGGATAACTTTCTTAACTCATTTAATGCTCAATAGCTTGAAATTGTATTGAGTCATTTTTTTCTGAGTTTTGTGGTGCAATAAAGAATCCCACATTTTCTAAAACTTTTTATAGTTTTAGAAGAAGACAAAAAGAAGAAAAGTATTAACATACTTTCTTCCCTGGATAAGAGCAAAATGTTCCAAGTCTTGTTTGTTTATTTATTTGTTTGTTTTAAAATTGTTGATGAAGACCAATTTCAATTTTCAAGACTTTGATTATGGAATAAATTTGAATATGCCCAGTGGTTAGAACTCTAAAACAGAAACATTAAGCACATATAGAATAAGATTCACAAAGAGAAATAAACCAAGATTAATCACTCAGGGGACTTGTGCTAAGAACCAATTTGAAATTCATTTCAAGGACTGATGGTTCTAGGTAAGATGTGGTGAATAAAGACTACTTTTCATTGAGGAAGATCCAAGTCCAGGTCATTGTGATGACTTTTCTGCATGATACCAAAATTGATTTATTAGGATTTACTTTAAGACTTCAAGGGGTCAAGTCTAGCCGTATCAATTCATTTTAGAGAAAAGCAAAGCTTTTTCCAAAATAGTACTCTTTCTCGGTGACAAAGCAATACTTACAGCACTACTGATTTCCAGGAAAACACTTCCAGCCTCAAGGTATGTCCTTGTCCACAGTAGACTGACAGAAAAGGAGAGTTGGGTTATAAAGGCAGCACAATTGGAAGAGAAAAGTTTTCTCTTTTTTTCTGCACAGAAAATGAATCTCTTTTTCTAGACTTTAATGCAAGTGTCCTTATGCAGTACTGAATTCTATTCATAAAGCTTTCATGACATGGCAAGGTTTCTTCAGCATTTAGGAGAATTGTATTGAGAGTGATTAATTCATCTGTTCATGCTAGGTCAGGATACCTTCTCTGAAAATAACAGTTTGTTAACGTGGGACTCTTTCACAGGTTCCTGTGAGACATCAATCTCCATGGATTTGCTCCAGAGAGTCCCAGGAGACAGGGAAGTTCTCACTAAAAGTTTATTCATAAGTCAAGCTGAAGAATTCGTAGTTTTCTAAATTCTAATTGGTACCAATCATTCCTGCACTCCTGAGGTAATTAACCAAAGTCTGAGAATCTTTTAATTTTATGAGTTTTTAGATCTTGGATTTCTCAGTTCTCCAAGAGGGAAAATTATTGACATCTTAATAAATAATAAATAAATGGGGTGCTTTAATGAACTGAATTGAACCAAAGGTAGTCAGTTTCGTTAATAATATAAAAATGGCCATGTATTCAGAAATGTGAGAGTGAACAGAATAGATATTGCATTCAATTTTCTTGTGAACTATCTTATAGG